GTATATAACAAACTCTGTATTTTGAGTGGAAATGTTAGGGGGTCGTCTTATACGCCCAGTCGTCTTATACGCCGGCAAATACGGTAGTTGTTGGATGTCTATCATTACCTGTCCAGAAATCGCTATAACTAACATGTGATGAGCTATGGAAAAAAAGATTTGGTTGACTGACCTAACAAATAAATGGACAGGTAAACAAGTTGGATTCTGGGCACTCTGCTAGCATCTAAGGAAGCTCTGTGACACATTCCTCAACACTAACGGCCAAAATCTTCCTGTCCTTCTAAGCCAGCGGTTCTCAACCTGTGGGTTGCGACCCCTTTGGCGGTCGAACGACCCTTTCACAGGGGTCGCCTAAGACCATCCTGCATATCAGATATTTACATTACGGTTCATAACAGTAGCAACATTACAGTTATGAAGTAGCAACCAAAATAATTTTATGGTTGGGGTCACAACATGAGGAACTGTATTTAAAGGGCCAGAAGGTTGAGCACCACTGTTCAAAGCCATGGACCCCTTTGGCGGTCGAACGACCCTTTCACAGGGGTCGCCTAAGACCATCCTGCATATCAGATATTTACATTACGGTTCATAACAGTAGCAACATTACAGTTATGAAGTAGCAACCAAAATAATTTTATGGTTGGGGTCACAACATGAGGAACTGTATTTAAAGGGCCAGAAGGTTGAGAACCACTGTTCTAAGCCATAAGCTATGTTCTAAGGATATATACTAATTGCATACAAACTCTTTGTATCTTCTCTACCAACCACCTCCTCTCTATTCGCTCAATCTCTTTTTCTGAATTGACTTCTGTCTCTCAAGATATAATCATGCTCAGGTTGCTGTCAGCTGTAAAACAACAACAACCAATACCTCTAATCACCTCCACCACCAAAGCTTACTGTTCCTTCCAAAGTTGAAAATTATATAATTGCCAAACCTTACAGCTGCTTGCAAATTCTCCTTCAACTTCTCAGTCCTCCAATCTTAAAACACTCTGCTCTGATGGTAGTGGCACTACTTCCCTGATTAGCCATTAGACCAGCAGTTCTCAACCTGGGGGTCAAATGACCCTTTCACAGGGATCGCCTAAACCAGTAATGGCGAACCTTTTGAGCTCGGCATGTTAGCATTTTGAAAAACCCTATATATAGAAATTTTTTGATATTTGCAACCATAGTAAAACAAAGACATATTTTGATATCTATTTTATATATTTAAATGCCATTTAACAAAGAAAAATCAACCAAAAAAATGAGTTCGCGTGTCTCCGAACTGCGGTTCTCAACCTGTGGGTCGCGACCCCTTTGGGGGCGAGCCGCAGTTTGCCGATCACTGGCCTAAGACCATCAGAAAACACATATTGTTTTTGTGATTAATCACTATGCTTTAATTATGTTCAATCTGTAACAATGAAATTGGGGGTCACCACAACATGAGGAACTGTATTAAAGGGTCGCGGCATTAGGAAGGTTGAGAACCACTGCTTTAGACCAAGCCCTATCAGTTCTATAACCTAATACAGGGTCTCTACTTTTGCCTCAAACCATGAATGCCTTTTGTCTTCATGACTGCATCAGCCTTCTGATTGATCCCTCAGGTCCCCCCATCCATGCCTCCCGGTGCAGCCATATGTTTACCACAAAAATGCTCCAAACCTAATTTAACTAACTCTGTTAAACTGTGACTGACCTTCAGCCTCAAGTGCCTTTGTACAGCAGAGTTTACTATACATTTGACATACACCTACCCTCTGAAAGAGTTAAAATGTTCTCTCTGATCTTCACCACAATATCCACTGGACTCCAAACATCTCTATGTATGCTGAAACATATTTAAGGTAACATTTTCCAAAATGCTGGTTTTGGAAATCTGGTTCCAAAAATTGGTATGCTTGCCATGATTCATGAAAAAAGAATAAAAACGATACTCAAAGTCATCAATTTGTGCTCCTGACCTCCATGCCCAAATTGTACCTTTGAATTTTGTCAATGGTGTTCCATTTCCCTGTTTTGAAAGTCATCCAGATTATACAAGCTCCAAATTATTGCACTTGATCTAAAACCCAACTAAAGTAAGTCTCCCCCAATAAAAACAATTAGAATAGTGGATAGCAACACACACATCTCTGTCAAGTGACTGAGTCTCACTGAAGCCACATGAGACACTGGTAATCTCTCTCTCTCTTTTTTTGTTTTTTAATTGATTTTTTTACAGAGAGGAAGGGAAAGGGATAGAGAGTTATTAACATTGATGAGAGAGAAACATCGAATAGCTGCCTCCTGCACACTCCCTACTGGGGATGTGCCGGCAACCAAGATACATGCCCTTGACCGGAATCGAACCTGGGACCCTTCAGTCTGCAGGCCAACACTCTATCCACTGAGCCAAACCGGCTAGGGCAGTAATCTCTTGATGTAATTAGAAAAAAAGGCAATACAAACAAAAAACTGATCAACGAGTATAATTAATTAGACACAAATATTGCTAATGACAAATATATCCTACTCATGAACAGAGTTCATGTTATTGTGTGTTCTTTCTACATTATGAGCATTTGATGCATATTAAAAACAGAACACTTCTTTATAATCTGCGGAACCAAGTGAAATTCATATCCAAAATATTTGTGTACTTCCAGCCCATAAAGCTATTCAAAGCCTTTCACAATTCAATCCAAGCTACTCCCGTTTTATTTCCTGAAAGACCAGTGGTTCTCAACCTTGGCTGCACATTAGAATCACCTGGGAATCTTTTTAAAAGAAATCAGGATTTTAAAAGGATTCCCAGGTGATTCTAATGCAGCCAAGGTTGAGAACCACTGCTCTGGGCACACCAAAGCAATGTTTGTTCCACGCGCGCCGGCTTCTTGCTTTTACTTAAACTTACGGATCCCTTCATCTGTATTCCCCACTTCTGCCCCAATTTCTCTAAGATCTGGTACTTACGCCTCCTGAAGGGCGAGCTTCTCCGCGAGGCTTCGCTGTCCACAGCATTTCCTCTAGTCCTGCTAATGCCATTTCCTCCTGAACGTTCCTCACGTACCTGTACACCCATCTCTAACCACGTCTTTGAAAGCTGGGAATGAGGAGACCATGTGGGACCCATCCATGGCACCGACAGCACCTCCCCCTTCCTCCCCTGTAACCCGAGCTCTGTGAACGGATGTGCTCCCCACCAATGGCCTCTCCTTCCCCAGGGCGCCTCGGGAACCATCTTGGCGGTCAGGCCAGGCTCGGACAGGCTCAGGGACGCGGTGCACCCCGGAGAACCCACAAACTCGGAGCGATGTTCCCGGAACTGCAGCGTCTCCAGGGCGGAGAAGGGCATCTTTAAGGGAAGAGAAGCCCCCGGCGTGTGCGGGCCTTTTTTGTTATCTTATTTCATATTTTTATATGCTGCACTTTTTTTTCCCGCACCCTGGGCCCCCGGGGCCCCGAGGGCTGCTTGCTGGGAAAAGACGGCGCCGGCTCCAGCCCCGGGGCAGGTGGCGGGAAAGCGCCTCCAGCTTCCGCGGAGCCCTGGTGCCCTGAAGCCCTCAGGCTCCGAGACGGACAGGAAAGCCAGGTCGTCTTCCCGGAGTGCGCCCCCTCGTGTTCGCCGGAAGTGTCATCCAGACCTGGAAGAAAAACAAAAAAGGCCTTGGGGACGTTTCTCCTGGAAAGAGATGCCTTGAGCCCAGCGGGCTTGGCTCCGTGGTTGAGCAACCTCGGAACCAGCAGGTCCTGGTTGGATTCCAGTTGAGGGCACCTGCCCGGGATGTGGGCTGGATCTTCAGTGTGGGGCGTGCAGGAGGCAGCGGATCAGTGATTCTCTCTCATCAATGACGTTTCTCTCTCACTCTCCCTTCCTCTCTGAAATCAATAAAAAATATCTTTTTAAAAAATACACAAGATGTTATGCATAGCAGAATAGTCCTGGGCGTGTAAAGTACATCATAGGGAATATGTAGTCCATAATTTGCTCAGTGGATAGAGCGTCGGCCTGCGGGCTGAGGGGTCCCAGGTTCGATTCCGGTCAAGGGCATGTACCTTGGTTGCGGGCACATCCCCGGTGGGGGGTATGCAGGAGGCAGCTGTGTGCAGGAGGCGGCTGATGGATGTTTCTAACTCTCTATCTCTCGCCCTTCCTCTCTGTAAAAAATCAATAAAATATATTTTTTTAAAAAGCATTGATTCTGATGAGAGAGGGGGTAAGTTCTAAAACAATTTTTCCTTTTCCAAAAATGAAATTGTATTTGCATTTCTTTCAAGAAATTGTGACTTAAGAGTGATTTTGCACACTTTCTATCTTTCACGTTGCATTGCTCATCCATGTTCTAAATCATGTTTTGCCTTATGTCATTCCAAAATTCTTTCAGACTTTAGAATCCCAATAAGATCGTAAGCGTCCTCTGTAGTCTTCTTTGGTATTACACACAGTGCTGGCTGCTATTGGGTAGACGTCTTAACATATTTTTATAGAATAAGATACCAAGCATTTCTACATGGAGGTTTGTTCAGTTTATTTTACTAAATGGATGAACTTCCTTTATCAAGATACCCATTTTCATTCAATCAGTTATTATAAATTCCTTTAAAAGGTTAAGCGTTCTTGCTCATTAAAGAGTCAATGATTTTGAGTCTATTGTAATTTGTTTAATGTATCATTCTTCATTATTCCTGTAGACATAAATTTTAGTTGAGCCAACACTGAATTATCTTGTACTTTAAACTAATGTTTTACTGTATTCACTGTTCTTATCTGAGAAATTGTAAAATTCAATCATTGTTCATCTGTCACAGGTATAATCAAGAGTTGAACAGGGGAAATGTTGCAAAGTTGCCTTATGTTGCTGCCTGTGTGAAACAGACTTCCATTCTACTCATTCATTCAATATGCAGATTGAATTGAACTACTATTAAGGGCCAGGAACTCAGTGAGGCGTGATTGTTGCCCTTACAATGGCACAGTCTGTTATTAAAAATAAATGGCTAAACTATCAAAACATAGTGCAATCCCTGAAATCCTGTTAGAAAACATTAGAGTCAGTTATAACAAAACTGTATCCTTTCTCATCAATCCTTAAATAGATATCTAAGTAATTAATTTGAGTGCTATTTACAATTTTCTTTGAGCTTCTGAAGAGGTAGTGGTTATGGATTTGATAAAAGTATATCCAGTTTTTCCCTCCCATCTGTGGTTTCGCTATTCCCAACTTCAGTTACCTGAGGTCAACCGTGGTTTAAGAATATTAAATGGAAAATTCTTGAAATAGACAATTCGTAAGTTTTAAATAGTGCACCATTCTGAGAGACTTTATGAAATCACATGTTGGCCCACTCCATCACTATACAAGAGTTGAGTTTGCATCACTTAGCAGTCATTTTGGTTAGCAGATCCACTGTCTGGAACCCCTGTGTGTTCAAATAACCCTTATTTTATGTAGCAATGGCCCAAAAATGAAAGAGTAGGGATTCTGGCAATCTGGGTATGCCAGAGAGAAATCTTAAAGTTCTCCCTCTAAGTGCAAAGGTGTAAGTTCTCCACTTCACAGCATTTTATCACCTCATGTCATCACAAGAAGAAGGATAAGTACAGTCACATAAGCTATTTTGAGAAAGAGACCACATTTTACATAACTTTTATTATAGTATACTGTAATAATTGTTCTATTTTGTTATTAGTTACTAGAGGCCTGGTGCACAAAATACACGCACTGGGCAGGGAAGGGGGTCCCTCAGCCCGGCCTGCACCCTCTCGCAGTCTGGGAGCCCTCGGGGGATGTCCCACTGCTGGTTTAGGCCGACTCCCCGCCACTGCCACTGTGCTCGCCAGCCATGAGCCGGGCTTCTGGCTGAGCAGCACTTCCCCTGATGGGAGCACACTGACCATCAGAAGGAAGCTCCTGTGTTGAGCATCTGCCCCCTAGTGGTCAGTGTGCATCATAGTGACTGGTCATTCTGCTGTTTGGTTGATTTGCATATTAGCCTTTTATTATATAGGATTATTTTTATCTCATGCTGTGCCTTATTTATAAACTTTATCATAGATATATGTGCATAAGAAAAAACATAGTATAACCAGGGTTGGGTGCCATCTGTGGTTTCACACATTCACTGGAAGTCTTGGAATGTATCCCCCAGGATAAGGCGGAGGGAACTACTGTAATAGAAATATAACATTCATGAAAATTATACAAATGTTCGTAGTAGTTTTCGTCTTACTCATTCCTAGTGGGACTATATAAGTAATCAATACAAGTTTGTTGAATATACAGGGTGGGAAAAGGGAGGTTTATAGTTGTTTGTATGGAAAATAATACAATAATCTAAAATAATAAAAGCATAATATGCTAATTAGACCGGACGTCCTTCCAGACAACCTTCTGGAAGAAAGCCGGCACTGCAAGAGAAGCCCGGGTCCCAGGTACAGGAGGGAAGCCAGTGCCAGCAGCCGGGGGAAGGAAGGCCTACTCTTGCATGAATTTCATGCATTCGGCCTCTAGTTAGTAAATAATAATGTAAGAATACTTTTCTCATACTTAGAACTGTATATATACTTCTGCCCTATCCTGTACATATGAATTGATCCTCAGTATTTTAAAATATTTAATTTGTTCCTTTTAGAAACTACTTTTTTGAAAATGCTGTGATTTGGCTGTGTGTGCCATGGCCCAAAACACTTCTCTAAAGGAGTTTATAAAGAGGAAGGTAGGAATGTGCAAAGATGCACCTACGGTCTCCTAGCTCTTCCTGTGGCTCACTGCACTTGAATGCAGAGTATCTGAAGGGGCTTGAGTAGAGAGGCGGAAGAGAACATTTTAGAAAGTCATGTTCCTCTTATGTAATGGGTTTAAGAGAGCAAATTCATTAAATGCCAATCAATATATGTCATAGGAAACTATTAATGGTGGTCCCTATGTATGAATTTTCAGGTTTCAAATGAAAACACAAAGGAAAATGGTTTACCTTAGATGGAGAATAGAACTTACTATTAGCCATTTTAAACATAAACCAAAAATAAGTAGAATGGATAAAATGAGCACAGAAAATGTAATGAAGGAGCAATTCTAATTATATTTTTAAATATTATTTTAAAATTATATGTTTAAAAGCCTGCTTTGGGGGACATCTGTAATAGTGTCAACAATAAAAATAAAGTTAAGAAAGCCTATTGTTAAAAATGTTATTTGTTTTAAAAAAAAACAACTTGCATTATTTTATAATACAAAATTGTGGAAATAGTTGTAAGCCATTCTATCAAGAAACAGAGAAACTTCAGGAATAATTCTGAGGCCAAAAACATTATACAGTAGAAGATTATTAACTCAGTGTTCATTCAGTAGGTCCAGAAGCATTTAGTATGTTAGGTACTGCGTACAGATTACAGATAAGAAAGTCCTTGTCCTCAATGATTTACCATCTACTAAAAGAGCCAAATTCTGCTATCAAATAATAACCAGCAAATACTGAACACTTGACTATGCCAGGTAATCATGGACTACCTGATTTAATGAATCATCACAAAAATCCTTATGGACTAGATGCTGTTTTTAATCCTTAATTTACAAGAAGGAAACTAAAATTTGGGCTGCTTACCTCATCCAAGGACATTCAACTTGTAGATGGTGAAGCTAGGACTTTGGCACCACTCTGCTTTCCTCCAAAAGGCATAAGCTTAGTTTCTGCACATCCAGGAAACCAGGCAGGTCTCTCTTTAGCTGCTGCCCTTTAATTCCAGGCCCTAGTCAGAGTGCTCTATCCACTAATGTCTTCACATTCTCAGTGGTATCTGCGGCAGCTAGCTCTACATACTTTCATGTTTTTTAATGATTCTTCAGACTTCTTGGACCGAGGTCTCTCATGGTTAGACTTCTACCTGGTAACTTTCACACCTGCTTTACTTTCATACTCCTATATATCATCACTCACTATTCTATCGCTAATATTTTCTTCAAATTGGTGTAACAGCCTAACATAATTTTCAGCAGATTATGATCTCATGGTCATTAGAATTAACATCATTTCACAGAATCCTACATATCATTTTTCAATAATTCAATTGCTGTTAACACAAAATTAGTAATTTATACTGTGATGCATATAATTATTCACAGAGTTCAGATGACATCTTGCAACTTTTCCCCAACCTTTGTTATGTGCTTTAAGAGCAAAATCCATAAACATTTCCAAGTGTTTCAGACCATTAAAGTACAGTAAGTACATGAAAAAAAAGTATGTTTTTAAAGCACTTAATGTTAAATCTTAAATTTCAGAATCGTAGGAAAGTGGAAAGATTGAGACTATGGCAGAGGAAAGCAAACTTTTACAACTATAAATTATATCTCT